TATGGGAATTCTATTAGCAGGCCACCACCAACATATCCTTCATCTGGATAAGCAGGATTGTTAGCAATAGTGCAATCATGGATTTCAACACTGCCTAGTGTAGCATAAAATTGAATGCCGACACCTATGCTATCACTCACAGTGACAGAGGTCAATTGAACGTTAAAGCAGGACTCAAAGTAGAGTGAGACATTGAAAGTTACAAATGTTTCATTAGGTGGGTTTAAGACTGTAGTACTATCGCGTTCCATACCACAGCCACTGAGAGTAATATTAATAATATAAATATTTGTACTTCCGACAAAAGCCAAGCCAGTATCCAGTGAGCTTTCATAAGTTTCATTGTTGCATACAATATTAGCCAATCCACCATCACCAGTCAATGTTATGCTCTGTTCTATATCTTCGAAAAGTATGCCAGCTTCCAGCTGGTATTGCCCTGGGACAATAAGAGCAGCAAGAGGAAATGTAGGATCCGCTTTACTTAAGTATTCTAAAGCAAACGTTAAGTTTTTACAACCTTTCGTTTCATTGACACACGACTCTAGATTTGAACCATTGTTTGACACTGTGACATTACCAGCTGTGTAGCCACTAAGAGAGGCTGTGACCAACAAAATGAAAAGAAAGTAAACCAAGAGTGTTTCTACGTGACGTGCTCTTGAGTAGACTGAAACTTTCCCTATTAATAAAGAAAAGAGATGAGCATCATGTAGATAGAATGTGGCTGGCTACCTGCTTCGAAATTAAACATGATTTGAACCAGACAAACTAGAGCAGGCTTATCGAGTTGTCTAATAGAATCCAATCTACGTGCCACACAACAATAAAAATTAATTTAATTAATCCCGCGGCCTTTTCCTTTGGTATTTATTTTTACTTTTTAGGGAGTACACAAAAGCTGTGATAGCAGAAAGCTATGAAAGAATACACCAGAGCAATCTGGTTTGAATAGACATCATACCACTGCCGGCAGTATTTGCCCGGAGAGACTGCTGACTGGTATTACGTAAAGAGAAGTAGATCTACAGCATAATTTAAAGTGTCTGAAAATCTGATGTAGATCTAAGCCTAAGTGAAGAATTATATCCCTTTTTGAAATTTAATTTTATGACATGCTGGTATACAATTGTCTGCTGCAAACTTGTTTGACAGTTACATGTATAGAACTAATGATACTATGTTTAGTTTTTTCAATCATGATTAACAGAACTGAAGAGATTCAGAGAATGCATTAGACAGACTGAAAAAACTAGAGAAAGAAAAAATCAAATCAAAGTTCCTAAAAGTAAAGTAAAGCTATGTAAAACAGCTAAGCATTACTCTCATTATCACGTACACCAGAACTTTTAAAACTATGTGAACTGCTTAACTCGGTAGATCTTTTATTGACAGATCCATGAAAGCCAGCATCTTCTCTTTGGTGATGACCTGAATTAATGACCAGTGATCGTGTCTCTTCATCATTTCTGTCTCTAACAACACAGCGTCTCCTACAGCAGCGATAAACTTTTGAGAACCATTGCCTTAATGTCTGCCAGTTCCTCAGGTAAAAGAGACGACAATAAACAATAGCAATCCATACAAGAGGAATCCACACTAGTATACCCTGAAGGATAAAAGCCCATTTTGATAGTGGGACATCTGCCAATGTATATGCATACTGATAGAGGCTTAGAGCTATCAGCAGTGAGAGAAGTAGCATTGAAGAAGCCTCAATAATATTGGGATCAATCTTTTTAGGGGTCACCCCATCTTCTTGCGTCCTCTTATACGGATGGAATAAGACAACAGCAATGGCATAGGTTATACATATAATGAACTGGAAGAATAGCAAAATGAAAGCATTCCAGGCAAAGATGAATGGGACAACTATCAGAAGACGAATGAGGAAGAGAACACCCGAGAACCACTGATAATTACCAGGCTCGAATTGCGTGATAAAGTAGACATTAAAATGTCGTGTACATCTGAACTTACAGTAGTAGAAGCATGTATTGGTACAGAGATGCCATGTCTGCAGTTTAATTTCTACGTTCATTTTATTTCTATTAATTGGTTCCTTGTATGTGCAGTCCTGGTTGGGTTTTATTTCTCTTTTAGTACGAAATTCATTTTGGAATTGACCCAAGAGATGATTTAGAAACCCTTGATTACTATCTGGGTCATTGGGTCTGTAGAAAAACAAGAAAATTGGAACTATCAGCAGGTATGTGAGCCCAAAGACACAAGCAAACAAAAAGTAAGGCAAGTGATGTTTGCCTAGAAATTCAACAGTTCCATCCAGGTATAAGACATACTTGGCATTGTCAGTCTCAGTTTCTGTTAGTGCAACATACGTTAACAAGTAGCTTGTTATAACTGCTACATTAGTGTAGGAGAGCATTATGGCTGTAGCCAAGAAGTTGGCCTTGTTCTTCCTGCTCTCATAGAAATCTTTAATATATTTATAGCAACCTCTATTATAATTTGGTTCACAGGATGTGCCACACAGACACATACAACACTTGCAGCAGGTACGAGAGCAGTAGTGAACTAATGCAGAGAAAAGGACAATAAACAAGGGGACTAGAGCAGCAACATAATTGATTGCAATAACTGTTACAAACTTTGTTACATTCTTTGAAAAACAATGTGTCTCCTGCAATGACCTTGCAAAGTAAAGATTAAAGGAGTCATACAGTCCAGTGTATGCCCTTTGCAGCTTATCAGCTCCAGAACTATTATACAGTGAATTGAAGGCTATAATGCCACCACCATCCAAAAGTACTATACTAGAGACTAGTTGACAAAGTAATATTGGGCCATGAAATAATCCAGATGTAAGTGGAACGTCAAAAATATAAACTGCAATGAGATAGACCAAAGGAAGGAGAACATCACATATGACAAATATACTAACACCAGCAGGATCAACTGTATGTGTACACTTAACACACTTGAATTTGTCATAACTAATAGCAGGAGCATACTCATCACTATAATTACACTGATTGCACAGGACACCTTCACTATGGTCGCTACAATACTTTTTATGAAATTCATCCAGTGATTGATTGAGTGTAATGTGGACAGGAACCTGTCGTGCATGATTTGGTGTTTTGCAACTTATACAATGGCCATACACAGTCTTGTTGCTATATTGACCATACACATTCTTGCTGCTATAATTGCCTATCCAGTATCCTTGCAAGAGTTCAGCAGTAAATGTTTCATTATTACAGCTAAAAACTCCTGCCTTGGTATGTGGTGAACACGTGCATTGCAAGTATGGATGTTCTGTAGTAGATTTTTTCGTGAGGCCTGGATGGCAATCATCAAATACCACTTTAAGGTCAAACTGTACAATATTTTGCTGAACAGCTTCAACGTGTATCATGCCTGTGACATCAGTTTTATTAGTTGGATACACCAAGACAGTATTATCAGAAATGTAATAATAGTCATTGTGAATTGTAACATTCTCTGAATAAACGTGATAAATATACTCACTTACGCTTGAATTTTGATCATTCAGTGGTTGAATTTTAAGCTTTGCTGGTTTACCAGGCCTTACATTAATAACTCTTTCAGATTTTTCTGGATTAAATGAAGCTATATCAGTTTGAATCTGACTCATGCAAGCATTTTGAGATGTGTTAGAGTTATATTCCCAGACTGAGTCCTCCCCTTCATTCCAGCATAACACATTCATTAGTCTTTCATTAATGTCATCAGCATAGCCACTAAGAAGGGCACAGGGTTTAATTGTTGAAGCATAAATTGAGTTATCACGAAAATTAGCAGTATTGTGACTGAAATTGAAAGTGGTAGACCACTTACTGGGGACAACAGTCACATTCTTATAGCGTATCAAACAGTCGAGTGATGTTTTCTCTAAACTAGTTCCAAATGATTCAGCATAAATTGCTCCTCCACGATTACGAGCTTTGTTGCCCTCAAACAAGAAACTAGTGTTGTGGCTGATTTCAATAAAAGCAGAGGAATATAAGGCTATAGCCCCACCATTCATACCAGCATTATTCATAAACTCTGCAATGGTGTATGGCATAAATGATACTTTTGATACAGAGACAACTAGAGCAGTTCCAAAACGATTATCCTTAAAAGTCACAAATTCATTAAAAACAACTGGAACCGTGTCGACATACATTGCACCAGCTCCAATAACACTTCCATGACCACTACTTTGAGAAATGAAAATCATATTTGAAATGAAGAAACAGTTTCTGAAGACAACATCATGTATTGTTCCTTCGCTATCTGTGTGAAAAATAGACAAATCTATAGCAGAGCCTAGCCTTCCTTTATTTCCTTCCCAAATACAATCAGATACTATTAACTGATTTAAATCATCAGCAGTGCCATTGGGTAATTGACGAGGAGTTAGGTAAAACATGCCCCCTCCTCTGGCATCAGCTGAGTTTTCCGTAAAATTCGTTTGGTTGATAATGAATATGTTGT